CGCACACACACCCAGCGTGAGTTTTAAGTCACCGGGCCCAGGACTTGAACCGTGGGCAACTACATGGGAGTCCAGCGACATAGCTATTACACTAACTGCTGGTCCCCGAACTTTTGAAACTAAAAAAAATGAGCCTGATACACAGTAGACATGTGAGGAGGTTTTGCTGTCTTTATTGTGTTTCTAAAGCAAAACATGCAAAATAGTAACATTGTCTCTGCCAGTCCGCCTACTCTTGTCCCTACAGACACCACTTAACACTTCATTGCTTTTGATACTTACTTACATCTCTAAATAATGTAAGTATACTGTAGCTGTTTCTTGATTTTTTTTCAATTTTAGATGTTATTTTTTGACTTCTGAAGGTTTAGCTCTTTCACCATCCCTCACCCACTCATCCAAAAAGCACATTTTCTCTCCTCCTGCCCTCTCGACGTGATTCTGATGTTCCTTTGGTCAGGTCAGTATTCAGTCATTAGATGACTTCACTGGTACATAACCAAGCCGGTAACATTTCCTTTTCATCCCCAAGCCCTTACTACTTTTTTTGTCTTGCTTGTTTTCTGTGTTCCTGTCACTCTCCTGAGTAAAACTGTGTTCCACAAGCATTTTGTCAGTTTCGTTTTTGTCGTGTCCTCTCCCGTCTGTTTCAGGTGTGGTCTGGTGGATGTCTAGGCCTGTTGCTCGGGTGTCATCCTGAGTCTTCCTTCACATCTGTCCTGTAGATCTGCTCTTCCACGGCTCTCCCTGAGAAAGGCGGAAACTGCTGGGCACTCTGTGGGCCCTTCCATCAGGCAGTTCATGTTCTTCAGGACTGGGGACATGAGCTGTTTCTTTTTTTTTTAATTTTCTTCTTTGTACAGAGGGACTTCAAGAAGTTCATGGAGGGACCAGAAGATGGCATCATGGCTACGTTGCTGGATTCCCATGTAGTCAACCATGGTTCGAGTCCCGGACCCAGTGGCTTAAACTCATGCCGGGCACGTGTGCATGTGTGCCCGAGATCCCAAGAGGAGAGTGGAGGAGAAGGGATTGTGGCGTGGCCATCCCCCCACTGCTCCGGGGGGTGATTTCTCGCTTTCTGTCTGTCTCTCTCTATTTTTCTGGCAAGTGCACGCACTCCATAGCAAAAACCTCTCCAAAAAAAAAAAGTTAATAAAAAACTGGAATTAGAATACAAGTTTATTTTGGTTCAAAGTTTTTACTTATTTACTTGTTTTTAAAAATTATTTACTTTATTTATTTATTTTTGGAGAGTTCTTTTGCTATAGGGCGCGTGCGCTCGCCAGACAGAGAGAGACAGAGAGACAGAAAGCGAGAAATTACCCCCCGGGGGGATGGCCAGGCCGCAATCCCTTCTCCTCCATTCTCCTCTCAGGATCTTGAGCATGCATGCACACGCGCCTGGCATGAGTTTAAGCCA